TCCATCCCTGGGAGTCCATTTCACACTGCGGCAGGGTGAGGGACATTCCAGGCCCACCTGAGTCACCCATGGGAACCTCTGTGGTGGCCTTCATAGACCTTGGCTCCTGGGAGGAGCCCTGGTTCTCCCGTCTCCCACTCCAGGTTCTTTGGGCTGATGACCTGCACTTTCACTGATTCATTCCACAAACATTGCTTTCACCTAATATGTGGCTGACAGTGGGGAAGGTACTAAGAGGAGGAAAAAGAGGAGCAAAGGCCAGATCTCCGCCCTCAGAGCATTCGTCGACAGCCAGAGACCATGTGCTCCTCACCTGGCCAGGTAACTCTATTAGAGAGGAAGGGCAAGGGTAGAAGGAGAATCCATGAGGTGAGCTCTAGGAAGGAAAGAAGCCATTCCAATGGGATGTGGGGTCCAAGAAGAACTATGACTCTCTCCAGTAAGGCATGGTCCCTGAATAAGGGACCACCCAGCCATCCACGGGCTCCTGGGGCAGGGTCCTGGCTGCCAAATCCTCCCAGAGAGAGAGAGATGAGGATTACAATGTGACCCCTGGGCTTGCTGACCATGCACACTTGTCAGGATATATACAGCGTTTGTGTCAGTATTATCGGCCCTTCCTCTAAACCAGGAGCACACCTGTATGGAGGAGTGCTGGGTGCTGGGGAGAAGGGGAAAAAGCAAAGCAGGGAAGGACAGGAGTGGCTGTTTGATGAAGATAATGAAGCAAACACAGAGCCAGAATACCAAGCTATGGGTGGGTACCAGGAACAGGAGCATTCAAGAAAGAGAAGGAGCATGTGCTAAGGTTCTGAGCCCAGAGACAGCTTGAAAGAAGAATCTCCATGAAACAGGTGCTTAAAAGCTGTGTTTCCAAAAAGCACTGACTACGTACATGGTCCATGAATTCACTAAAAGCACTCACTACGTGTGTGGTGATTGAATTAACTCAGCAGGAGAAAAGCTTGACATCTCTGCCTCCATTTTGTGGGTCCTTTAATCATTCTCTGTACAGTCGCTCTGCATTCACCTTAGAATCTGGGACCACGCCTAAGAAACAACAGAGCTTCTGCATGACAGAGCACCCACCAGGCAGCAGAAGCTTGTTTGCTGCCTTCAAGTAACAGCCTCTCTGGAACCTCTCCCAAAACAAGGACTGAAACAATGATCCACCAAACTACACTTTGACTAGGAAGGCCCAGGGCCCCCAGCAGGTGCTCACCTTTCTGTGGTCCCTGTTACATGCAGGCTAAAACAGGAGGTGCAAGGCAGCCTCAAAACAAAAACAAATACAACTTCTGCTGCTTGTGCACCCACTCAGCACCTGCATGGCCCTATGTTCAATCTCAGCACCGAAGAAAATTGTTCCAAGCCCACTAATCACATTGACATACCAAGGAATTGTACTGAATTGACTGCTTTTGAAAACCACCAAAATATATCTTTAAAACATGATCTGAAGGCACTGGGCACCTTCTGAGCAACTTATGTACAATTCAGAACAAAGTTCAAACATAATTTACATGTCTCAAAGTAAATGTCGCATGTCTAGCCTTCAACAAAATGTCAGCCAGCCAGCTTGTAAGGCAGGAAATTCTCCCATTGTGAGGAGAAAAGGCATCCAGGAGAAACTAGAGAACCACATTGCATACACTGAAAGCTACCAGGGAGAGCAAGAACCAAGAGGCACACGCTGAAGAGAGTCACAACAAGGAAAATCCAGAAAAGGAAAGTACAGTGCCCGGAAGAGAATGCACCATGGGAAACAGAAAACATTAAAGGCAAAACCACAGGAATGACACACAAGTGAAGACTAATCAAAAGTGAGGAAAGCATCCATCTTCTAGGAAACGAAGTCAAGTGACCTAATACAATATACAGCGGAGTGGCTAGGAGAAGAGAGGAGGAGCAAAGAGTTTGAAGAAACAAGTGATGGTCAACAAAAAGTCCAAATCAGATGAACACTATAAACTTGAAGACTGACATTTGATGAAAACTAAGGACAAAGAGCATGAAGAAAAACATTCCAAGGAACAAGACAATCAAACTACTTAAAGTCAGTGAGAAAAAGAAAATCTTAAGAGCATACAGAGATGAAAGCCGAACAACAGTAAACACTATCTTTTTATCAAAACTGAGCAAAAAAAATCATTTAAAAAGTTGGGATTAAGACCTTTTTAAGCATAGAAAACTGGAAGAATCCAACACATTCAGCTTCATGATTGGTTAAAGGAAGCCCCTTAGGCAGAATAAAATAACATCAGGAGCCCTGGTGTGAGACCATGTGAATAGTATAGGGTTGTTTTTTTCTTATTGCTTAAATCAATTTAAAAGAACTGGCTGAACACATGGTACATATATACAACACATCGAATATTATTCAATCTTAAAAAGACATCCTGGTGCATGTTGCAACACAGTTGAACCTTAAGGACATTGTTCTGAGTGATATAAACTCATCACAATAGGACAAATGCTGTCTGATTCTACTTACCTAACTTCCTTAGAATGGTTGGATTCAAGGCAGAAAGGAGAATGGGGTCTGCAGAGACTGGGAAGAGGGAGGGGGAAGTCAGTGTTAATGGATCAGATTCAGTTTTGCAAGACACAAGTTCTGGACATGGATGGTGGAGATGTAGCTGTAGCAATACTGAGGTGGGAGATGTAGCTGCGGCAATGCTAGAGTGACAGGGAAAGTAGCAAACATATCAAAATAATAATAGGAAAAAAAACAGAGAAAATGAAGGAAGAGGTGACATCGTTCAAAAAGAAATGTAGGAACCAGGTGCCAGTGGCTCACGCCTGTAATCCTAGCTATTCAGGAAGCTGAGATCTGAGGATTACAGTTCAAAGCCAGCCCAAGCAGGAAAGTCCATGAGACTCTTGTCTCCAATTAACCACCAGAAAACTGGAAGTGGCGATGTGGCTCAAGGGGTAGAGTGCTAGCCTCAGCCGAGTTGAGGGACAGTGCCCAGGCCCAGAGTTCAAGACCCACAACCGACAAAAAAAGAAAAAGAAAGAAAGAAAAGAAAGAAATGTAGGGGCTGGGGAGGTGGCTCAGTGGTAGAGTGCTTGCCTAGCACACATGAAAACCTGGAGTTGATTCCTCAGTACCACATATACAGAAAAAGCCAAAAGTGGCACTATCACTCAAATGGTAGAGTGCTAGCCTTGAGCAAAAGAAGCTCAGGGACAGTGCCCAGGCCGAGTTCAAGCCCCAGGACTGGCAAAAAGAAAAAGAAAAAAAATGTACTCATGATCTATGTAATTGTAACCCCTCTGTACATCATCTCTAAGAAGAAGGAGGAAGAGGAGGAGAATGGAGGGCGGGAGGGAGAAGGGGGAAGGGAGAAGGGGGAAGGAGGAGGAGGAGGAGGAGGAGGAAGAGGAAGAAGAAGAAGAAGAAGAAGCCGCCATTACTGCCACTGCCAGGTCCAGGAAACTGGACCTAGGATCAGGAAATGTCTGAAAAATTTCCACTAAAAGCCCTCCCAAGGACAATACAACGCAAATGTACTTAACGCCACTGAACTCTGCTCTCAAAGATGGTTGACAGGATACATTGTGTTAAGCCAGGCGCCGGTGGCTCACGGCTGGAATCCAGCTACTCAGGAGACTGAAGTCTGAGGATCACGGTTCAAAGCCAGCCCGGGCGGGAAAGTCCATGAGACTCTTATCTCCAATAAACCACCAGAAAACCGGAAACTTCAGTGATAGAACCCTAACTTTGAGGCGAAAGCGCGAGGACAGCGCCCAAGTCCTGACTTCAGGCCCCAGCACAGAGAGGATCACAAGGTGGGACAGTGCCCAGCACAGCAAAGCCCGGCGTCCGTGCCGGCCGGGGGGCGCTGCGCCTGAGAGTCTTCCGTGGACCACCTCCCTGGCGGGTGAGTCGGGACGAGGGAAGCGACGCCTCCTGTACTACGGACCCAGAGCCGCCACCCCGCGACTCACGAAGAGCCAGACCTCCAGACCCGCGCGAGCCCCCGAGGAGGCGCCCGCCTCGCCTGCAGAGCGACGGGGAGCTGAATGCCTCTGCTCCACTCGCCTGGTCCGTGGGAGCCGCGCGAGCCCCGGCTCCACAGCAGCCGCACCCAGCCGGGCTGACGGGACCCAGCGTCGTCCCCCCAGCCGGGCTGGAGGGTCCCAGCTTCTTTCCCCTCTCCCCCCCAGCCGACGCCTGTCTCTTTCTGTCCCGGACACGAGCTCGCCACCGAAGCGCTTTAATCGGGAGCAGTCGACTCTGCTCAGGAGCTTCAATCAAACCAAACGGAAGACAAAACAAGAAAGCAACCGACTCTGGGAGCCTTGGGCGAGAAGTGGATACAAAATAATTGTAGAAATTGGGATTCTCGCAGCGCTTCAAGAGCGGGCTGCTGAACCATGCGAGAGGGGACG